CTACTTACAAATAGGAGTGCCTAGTTAAAATTCGGTAAATGCTCGTCTCGAGTTAGCTCAACTTGAGACTGTAACGAGCTGAATGAACCAAAGATTAACTCAACTCGATAAGTTCGCGAGTAGTTTGTTAATTTTTTTTAAATATTTTTAGTAATTATTTTAAATTATTTCATTAAAAAAGTAAATCTAAATAATAATTATTAATTTATTAATAAAATAATAAATTAACTAATCTATTTATTTTTTAAAAATGATAAATTAACTAATCTATCAATTTTTTAATAAATAATAAAATATTATTAAATTAATAATATATTTTTTACTACAAACAAGACAAACCCAACCCTAATCCTAATTAACGCTTCAGTTCAGTCTTTCACCCCTCCTGCGCCTTATCACACTTTTTCTTATCTTTCATATCTCAAATTTCAAATCTTGAGATCACAAAGCATTGAATCTCAATTTCATCCCTAATTTGGTAGCCATGACTGGTTAGTTTACCTATCTCGTCATTCTTCTTATTTTTAGTTAAATAGTTTATTTTAATGTTCAATAACGTCGTAATCCATGAAATAACGGTTCAGTAGAAATAATTTACTTGTAGGAATTTTAAAAAGAAACGGAAATGACTTATGAAAGAAAACAAAAAAAGAAAACACTTTAAAACTGATTTTGATGGCGGTTATGAGACACGGGATCAATGGGGTTGGGTGTTAGGAAAAAGCATGCTGAATTTCAAGCCTTTCATTTTCCAGAGGTGGAGGCCAGGGAAAATTATTTTATATTATTTAATAATTTTATAAAGGGAAAAAATCAAAGCAGTTTGACAAAAAAGAATGGTTTGTTCATTTTAGAAAGAAAAAAAAGAGGAAGTTTTAATTTAGATAGTTTGTATATTATTGGGACAAAATGTTTTGTCATATAGACCCACAAATAGAACTTCGTGTAAACATTTGTTTTTTGTTCATATTTGAATTTATATGAATTCAATTAAAAGATTAAATTACTCTAGCGTAATATATAAATTAACTTATTCCTTTTTAATATAATAAAAGATAAGTTAACAATTTATCTTGCATAGGTGAGACCAATATTCCTATGGACCAAAAAAGAAAAAAGAGTTGACCATTCAAAACTAAACATATGTTTCTCAAGATTCGTATGGACCAAGATTCGTATTTAGATAGTGAAACGAATTACATTAAAAAAAGAAAAGAAATGACCATTCAAAACTGTTATCCCAAATTTAGACCATAAATGACCCAATATTTAGCACTTGTGAAGCAGATACTTCAGTTTACGGAATTTATTAATGCTGAAAATCCTCTTTGATTTCATTCCCTCCATTATGATTCATTGAAGTTAAAATCTTGAACTTTGGGGAAACCAAATAACCACATATTGATGGCAATACAGTATGTTTATTTATGTCACTGAATTATAGTGTTCTCATTTTTTTTAGTATGTTATGCTAATATTTTGATTAAATATGAATAGATGCTTGTAGTGCCCATGATTCTTCTTTTCAGAATCCCGAGGTTGAGGAATTTAACGTGAATATTGATGATGAGGTAGAGATTAACGATGATGGGGTAGATATGATAAGGTAGAAAAATCGGATCAAGAAATACCTCCAAATAACACTCAAGAAACAACATGGGAAGATGATCCTAATGTTCCCCAAATGGCCCTTTTAAGAGAACAAGACAATCCGAAGTTTAAAAATACTTGGCAAAACCTGAAATGATAGACAATCAGTGGAAGGTAAGATGTTTACATTGCAAGGGATAATTAAAAATACTTAATTCTGGTAGTACTACTACTACTCATTATAAGTGCCACTTGGATCAATGTCCACAAACACGGATGAAGTTGCGGCAACAAACTTTAATTAACTTTCTTCCATCAGATTCAAGTGTTGGATCACTTGATTCTTCATTTGTTAGTGCTTTGCATGATGGTAAGTTGATGTTTTAAAGTTTAGAGAAGGCATTGCTCATTGGATTGTCATGCATGAAAAGACATTCTCAGTTGTTTGAGATAACATTCATAAAGTTCGAGAAACTTTGTATGAACTTTATGATGAGTATGCTAGTTTGTATTATCCTCCCACAACAGAAACAAGTGGAGAAAATAGAATTGAAAGTATTTCACATATTGGTAGAGGAAAAAACACTCCTACTTTATTTGATCTAATAAATAAATTGGTGAACAATGAAATTATGGCTAATGTTGTAAAGAATGAAGTTGATTTATATTATGAAGATGGATGTGTAATGGATAAAGGTGACCACTTTGAACCTATAAGTTGGTGGAATGATCAATCTTTGAAGTTTCGTATTTTGTCAAGGTTGACTATGATGTCTTATCAATTCCAATAACATTTGTAGCTTCTGAGGCTACATTTAGTGTTGGGAGTTGCGTGATCGATTCTTATAGGGCTTCATTATCTCTTGATACCATGCAAATGTTGATTTGTAGTGGAAATTGGTGTCGATCTCTCCAGGGAGTGAAGAGAAAGAATAAAGTAAGATTATTTAAGGTTAAGCATATTAATTGATTTAGTTTTATACTATTCATTGACAAAGTAAGAATATTTATTTTAGTTTTTTATTGTAAGATATTATAACCATTTTTTATGGATAGGATAACTATGTTGATCAAGAAAAGGAAATTATTCTCCCAAGTCTATAGTTTGGTGATTGCAAGCAACAATGAATGGACTGGAGAGACGATTTCCTTATTTTCAAGATTGGATACGTATCGTTGAACTTTTTTAAGAATACTTTTAATATGTTAGTTTGATGTATTTGCGGATTGTTACTCTAGTTTTAATTTGTTGGTTTGGTGAATTTGTGGATTGTTACATTAGTTTTAAGGGTAAAGTATAGTAATGGCCACTGAACTTTTCTAAAGCTTTCATTTAGGTCTCCTAACTTTTAAAACTTGCAATACAGTCCTTCAATATTTAGTCCGTTTGCAATATGGTCTCCCAACAGTTACTTTGGGGATCATATTGCAAATAGACTAAATGTTAGGGTACCATATTGCAAACATACTAAATGTTGGGAGATTATATTGCAAGTTTTAAAAGTTGAGGGATCTAAATAAAAGTTTTAGAAAAGTTCAGTGACCATTACTATACTTTACCCTTAATTCATTTAAAATTTTATTAGTAATTTTGCATTTCGTCAATTTTGTCCTTAAATTTATATTTTTTTACAAAATTGATCAATGATTATTTTTTTTGTAATTTACTAGAAATTATATACAATTATACTTGGAATTCAACAATCACGAAAAATGACAAAAATTAATCCAAAATTAAAAACGACCCGACCTGAACTCAATCCGTATCTGGTAAACATCCGACCTAAATTTTATCTATCAATGATGTGACCCCGATCTGAACGAGATCCGACTGAAGTCCATTTAAGCATGAATTAACTAGTCTTTATCTGCTTTGGACCTGAACTGTTTTGACCTGAACTGACATCGATCCGAACTGAAAATGACCCGACTTGAACCCAATATAGATATGGTGTTAATCAACTTGAAAATAACCAGAACTGATTTGACATGTACCCTACCTGATCCGAGTCAAACCATCAAATTAACATGACTTGACGTGTACCCAATTTTACCTAACATGCCAGGATCCGACTGAATTCTGACTGATTACCTGATTTTACAGCTTTAACTGACATGTCAAAATCCGACTGAAACCTGACCGATTACCTGATTTGACAGCTTTAACTGACACCTTCTTGAGTAGACACTTCACCATACTGGACTATTGAGGTCGCCCTCTAAAAACGAGGGTAAGGATGTTGTTTGGGTAAAATTATTAAATTCTTACGTAATAAAGTTAATCACCAATAAATTTTTAATCATTCGAATTATAATAGAATTTAATTTAATTGTTAATTAAAATTTGAATAATATTGCAAACTAAATTATATAATACTCTAATTATATTTATATCATAAAATATAAGATTAATTAATACTTGAATATGATATATTATAAAATAAAATATAAAATAAATAATATTTGAATTAAACTATCAATAGAGTTAATTAATTGGGTAAAGTATAGTAATGGTCACTGAATTTTTTTAAAGCTTTCATTTAGGTCCCCTAACTTTTAAAACTTGCAATACATTCCCCCAACATTTAGTTCGTTTACAATATGGTCCCCCAACATTTAGTCTGTTTGCAATATGGTCTCCAATGTAACTGTTGGGGGACCATATTGCAAACGAACTAAATGTTGGGGATTGTATTGCAAGTTTTAAAAGTTAGGGGACCTAAATGAAAGCTTTAGAAAAGTTCAGTGATCATTACTATACTTTACCCTAGTTTTAATATGCTAGTTTAGTGTATTTGTGGATTGTTAATTTATAATTTAGACTTTAAAAGTGTTTTATACACTCTTGATTTTTTTTGGTTAAATTTGTTATTTTGTGTTAATATTAAGCCTCATATAATTTATTAAATTTTATTTTTAGTTAAAAAAATAAAGCAAATTTTTTAGTGAGTTTAACGAGCAACGAGTCGAGCTGAGCATCAAATTTTTTTAACGAGCACGAGTCGAACACAACTTTAACGAGCTTAACAAGCAAACGAGTTGAGTTGAGTCGACCAGCAAAATATTTTAACGAGTACGAGTTGAGCACTACCCAACTTGCCATCACTCGCTCGATAAGTACCCCTACTTGCAAGTAACCGATTTTACCTCAGTTTGCCTTGTTATGAAGGTATTCCATGCTACTTGCCTAGGACCCAGATAAACAAGGCAGTGGCTTAACTTTTACATGTGTTTATCGCATCATTGAGTTGGTCTCCATTAGGTCGACCACAAAGAAAAGTTAGGCATTCACCTGCTCCACCTATCATAACAGGATTGAAACATGTTTTTGTTTTGATAGACAATTTTTGAGGTTATGCGAGGATGGGGAATTGGCCAGATGTAATTGGTTCTCTGATTTAACAGCATTGTTGCGATCGTGACTCCCAAATCAACTGATCCTGTTTTTTTTTTTTTTTGTATTTTATTATCATTGGCACTGCCTCAAGGTTACAAGCTGTGCATCTATAACGAATGAGTGGCCATTTATTATCATCAGGTCACACTGAACGAACATTTTCACCTTCATTTTTGAAGGAGAAACAGATGATCACCATCCCGAATGACATCTATATCATCTATTTCGGCATTCTCAGCATTAACAACTTTCTTATATGTGTAGCATCCAAACTTCTCACCTGCAGTTTCACAAGGTTATGGAATGAGAAATAAATAAAGCAAAAGCAGGCAAATAAACAAAGGTGGTTTTCTTCTTCCTGTTCATGGTTTAAAAAGTTCCCTTTAATTATTTATTTTCTTTAACCTATTTGGGTTCTAGTCACATATGAAGTTGACGTATCATTGCTTTTATCATTTCAGGTTATTTCAAGTGCTCTTTTCTGCCAGACTTACCAGCCACTCTGAGCAGCTCTTGTATTGAATCCGGTAGGAGTATCAACTTTCCAAGTTGTCTACTTGACGCACTGCTGCTCTGGAACTGCATGTGAATAGTAACTCTTTTCTTGGTCGTTATTGTTACCTCTTTATAATAATTGTGCGGTTTGAAGAAATTTTGAGTCTCACTTCTATGTTTGCTCTGACTATTCTTAGGGTCGTCGGTTGTTTCTGGCCCAATAATCTCTATCATATGTTCATCTTTCTTTCTTTTGTTTTCATAACTCAGTAAGAGATCATATATGCTCTTGTTTTCTTGGTGCTCTGCCAATGCTTTTGGTGTCCTTCCTCTTGCATCTAGTTTATTTACACTTTCTCCTCCTTCAAGCAAAATCTTAACCATTTCAATGTGCCCCTTGCGAACAGCATCATGGAGAGCTGTTTGGTCATTCTCTGTTGTTGAAATTCCATTATCTGAATATCTACTTGTTTGATTCTTCTCTATAGCATTTGATCCCAAGAAATCTATGTCTATTGCTTCTTTGTTTGATGCATATCTCTGTGGTTGCTCTTCAAATCCAGTGTCCGAACAACTACCTCTTACTGCTCCTACATTGAGCTGGTCAAAGCTGCCGCCCTCTAGACCATTCAATTTCTGCGAGAACAAACCATCACTTCACTGTTTATAACAATAATAATGTTTCATTACTCTAGAAGTTATATGAGGAATATTTACCATGTAAAAATTACGCATAATGACATTCCCAGCTTCCATATTTACTTGTATGCTGCTCATCAGTGAAGTTCCATTCAATCGTAGTATCTGACAAAGCTTTGTGGTCCTTACGGTGTATGGCTGTGGCCTATAACATAGAACTCCAATCTCTCCAAACATGTCACCTGCTGCTAACTTTCCGATAACCTGTAAATCACATTTGGACATGGTAAACTTTTCGTAGTGTTGTTGATTTACCGTAAAGAAAAATATTATATATGTTAGAATAATATCTCACCTGATCTTTCCCATCAGCATGGGAGATTAAGTTCTGCAATGACGAATCAACCAGTCACCAAATTAATGTAAGAGATTGGCGTTGTTTAGTTTATATTTTCTGCACAGATCAGGACAAGACTACTTACAACTGCTCCCGAGACAAGTATATAGAGATCTGTTGGGGCTTCATACTGCAGAATGACATCTTCTTTGGGTGGGAAATATTCGGTATCCATTTCTGTCACCTTTGACAGAGTAGTAAATTGCATTAACATCTTGTGAAAATGAAATTCAAAGTCAAACTGGTGTATGTGTACCATTGGCTCAAAATACACCAAAATTTATGGATTTTCCATTGCTCTGGCCTTTTTATTTGATATACTATTTTATCTTACAAAAAGAATGATATGGAGAAATATAGGTAACATGAGAAGTATTACCAACTGAAACAGGAAGTCATGAGAAACTCCTTGGAAGAGGTAGACTTTCTGCACAATGTGGAAGAAGAGATACTGTGCAATGCTAGAGCGAATGGCTTTTGGCAAACTATTCAAGGTCTCTTGCTGTTTCAATCCTTCTGTTTTGAATCTTAAGCATATGTGTGAAAGCATTTGATCTTGTATGCGGGAGAGTAATTGATTGCGTGTTGCAAATTCTGAAGCAGCTCTAATTGTATCCCTCTGCAACAACACAGAAGGTTGTCATTAGCACTCCCAGGCTAGATATGACTTCCTCTTCAAAAAGAAAAAGCTGTTGAATCTGAAGAAGGACTGGAAGTTTGTAATGCTCAAATAGCTAAAAGATACTCAGCATTCCTACTTCATTTTTGACTTCATATAATGTATTCCTACTTGATTTTTTATGTCATACAATGTTCTGTAGATGCAATGTCTGTCTTACAAAAACTAACTTTTTTTCCTACAACAAATAGTGTGGTCGTGCAAGTACTGTTGACTGCGACTGTAAACTTATTCAGTATGTTCAGTTCTCCTGGCAGGGTAATGGTGATTTCAAATAGTTTGAAAGGTGTAAGGGTACTTACAAAATTACGGGTCCGGCTTGTCCAGTGAACTACGAGGTTTGTCATGTTCCCGATGAGATAAGCTGTTAATCCCAAATTAAACAGCATGTAAAAGATATCAAATAACATCTCTCTTGGATTCTCAGCATGCAAATCCCCATAACCAGTTGTAGTAAGCGTTGTGATGGACCAGTAAATTGAAGTTATATATCTGTCCCAGAGACCCTGTTCTTTGAAATTGGGGTATACTGCACCAATCCAGGTTTTCGAAGGATCAGGGTATCTTTCTGCAATCAAATAGTTAAAGCATCCAGCACAATGTACTGTAAATAGGGTCACCTGAAATCAACCGGAGGAGAAAATAACCCATATTTCAGATGACTGAGACAATATTTCTGATGGAGGTGAGAGAATAGGAAGTTCCAGTGGCTTACAGAAATGAGCTTGGTGCACCGAGTCCAGAAGTAGTTGAAGCGGATGTCTTTCTCAAGTCTGTAGTAAAGCAAACCTGTAAGTAAATATGGTATATTTTCCCATTGTAACGGTTTAAAAGTTTTGAATGAAAGAATAAGCATAGGTTAAATCTGGTTATAACCTTGCAAACAGGGAACTGACTCGTCGCAAACGCCAGAGTCTGAGCATGTTGAGTAGCCTGAGCCCTAGTTCACTACCATGATCTGTGAACATAACGCTGAGAGACTGAAATGGAGTGGTGGAACATACATCGAAGGCAAACCAGGTAGTTATGTACCTATATGTTGGATGGATTATATAAACCCATTATTTGCTTGAAGATTAGATAAACATTGATTTTCTTAGTTAAAAACGGCTTTACGATCAATGCTGCAAAAAGTCATTTACCTTGTAGCAATCTTCTTGGGATCATCAACAAGGAGGTATGATTGGCTATCGAGGTATGCAACAAAGAAGGTGAGAACGATGTCAACGGCAAAGAAGCCATTGACAATGTTGTCTATAATGAAAAGTGCATCTTTCTTATAAGTTAAGAATGCAAACTCGAATGGACAGATCCAGGCAGAGTAAACGACTAGAACAACCAGCCACATCTCCCAGGCCCTGTAATAAGGAGGATATAAGGAACAGCTTTGAAACATTGAAAGAAATATTCGAGTAAACCATGGCTATGATGATCACCTATAGTGAGGATTGAAAGGGGAAATGATGTATCGACGTAGCTTCGTTGTCTGGTTAATTCTGGCCCCAAGTGATGGAAGGAGATCACTTGAGAAGAAACTGCCACGAATATCATTGTCCATTTGAAATTCATCATTACAGAACCGCTGGAAGAAGTTTTTGGTACAGGAAAATGACATCTAGTTGTTTGAATCCTCAAGGCTACAGCTAGACTTACAAGAGGAGGCTATTAAACTTCTGGCAACGTTGTCTCAAAGGAATGGTTTATATATAGCAAGCATGTGAAGACGGACACGGGTTTAGTTTTCCTAACACCTTTATATCAATTTGCTCCTGAAATGTTTAACAAGGGCATGCAAGCTTGAACAGCTAAAACGTCACTAAGAGAGGAAGCTAAAGTTGGACAAGTGAGTCAAATTTGCCATCTTGTTTCTAGAAAATTGATGGAGCAAGAAAATATGACAAGAGGAAGGAAAAAGACCACGAAAATGGCAAGCGCTGGAAGTGGCAGACATGGGTGATCAGCAATGTGGTTGTCAGTCGCAGCAATGAAATCTCTAAGAGAGAGAGAAGGATGGGAGAGAAAAGAGGAACGGCGAGAGAAAAGGAGAAGAAATAGAGAGAGGTTTGAATATTGAATGAAGGTAATGGCAGCAATAATTATGCTTAGGGTGGTGAATGGTGCAGCTGGTGGTTGTCAGAGCTTCATCATCAAAGCATGTGAAGATGTGTATGATATATAGACGAGCCCCTGTTGCCAGAGACAAATATTGTTTCGGTGTTTTCATTTCAGAATCCAGCAGTGGACCAGACAGCCGTAATAGAATGGGGGAAGATGTTTTTTGATTTTATGGATGCCATGTGGTCCAATCACGTCGTGGGTTATAGGTACATGGCATCTTTCTTTTTTGCAAAATATTCGTTTTCAATACAATCCACCTTCCCCTATTCACCTTCCTAGTAAGAGCTTAAGTTGATCGTTTTTGCCACGCAATTAACGCCGTAGGTGTGTGAATGTATTTCCGCCATATAATCCATTTGCCCCCCTCGCCACCACCACCACCACCACCACCACCACCAATTGCCACCTCTCACGCCCCTCCTCTCTCATATATATGCTTTGACCCTTTTTTCTACATTCAGCCGAAGCTTTATCATTATCCTCTTCTGCTTTGCCAACCTATTTGTTTTGTTTCTGGTGTATCTGATGAGTTGTTGATAATTTGCATCTTGTTTATGTTAATGCCGATAAAGTGTCATAATTTAATTAGCTTTATAAAAAAGCAGAGCCGAAAAGAGGGAAAGAAAGATCAATACAAGACAAATTCGTTAAGACTGTATGCTAAGGAAGTTGAGTAATGATTGTATGTGGATAGTATACAATATATTTTATTATACTATAAAACTTGAAAAAGTTGACATTGAGTGTTAAGGAAGTTTGGGACCCACAGGGGTCCTGCATACGCCTGGAAGATTCTGTGAATTAATAGCTAATAAACTGTCAGGTTCAACTATCCAATTACAGCCCATTTACAGAGGCTTTGAGAGGATCCGACCCGATCTCAGTAGCACCTTCCTCTTCTTGCGGTTTCCATAAAGAGGTTAGTGGTACTCATCCTCCTCTTGCATGTGTTACCATTGTTCAAATTCTGTAGAAAGTCCTTATATTGTGTCTTTTGTTGAATTTAATACCTCTACTATAATTTGATGTTTTCAGTTCAGTTCTTTGTGAGTAAGTCGCATCAAATTAATTAATTGAATTATTACAGAGAAATTATTATAGAGAAATTAAATTCATAAAATACACATAGGAAATGAACTTTGACCTTTATATATATATTTGCAAAAACGTGAACAATTCCAATTATTGCATGTTGGAAATTGAAAGACGTGGATAACTGATTTTTGGGTATTGATATATTCTCTTCCTCTCTAAGATCATTAAAAATGTTCTTTTAGGAAACTATACAATACCCGAGCACAACTCTTTTATAGGGTACTACTGTTCATAACAGCATTTTCACGGAACCTTGCATAAAACGTGGCTCTTATGGAAAAACATCTCCACAAAAAAATTACTTTTAAAAATTCTATCATATCATCACAATCTTTTGGTAGTCGTATTGAGCAGAATATAAAATTTTATTTTAGCAGGTGGAATTGTAGATTCAAAAATGGTAAAAAAATCATAAAAATGAATATAACAATTAAAAAAAATGAATCATAGAACTTGAGCAATAAATATAAGTAAAAGAGCACAATAAACTAAAACTAAAACTAAAACCCAAAACATATCTTAAAATAGGTTAAATGTTTTTCTGAGTGGTATATTTATTTCTCGATTAAGCTGAATTAATTGGTTGGTTCGATTTTGACAATACTAATGATCTTTTTATTACTTTGACTACAAGATGTAAACAACTTACCTTGGTGATTAAGATATGCATCTCCTTTCTCTTTGGATATAGGCTTAAATATAAAAAATGTATATAACGTATTCCTTTGATTCTAGTTTGGTGTCTAACGATTTTTTCGTTTCAGCTTAGTGGCTAACTTATCAAAACCTGGTAATTTTAAAAATTTTATTTAAAAATAAAAAAATTAAAATTACATATATATTTTTAAAAGGAAAACATAAATTTTAAAATAAACTCAAAACTTTAAAAACCTTTATTTTAACCCCTAAATCCATGCCAGTCGCTATCTTTTTCTTAAATTACCATATTGTGACACGTGTCACTTAATGCTGACATTAACTCAAACTGAGTTGTTAAATGAAGTGTTTGGCACCCAAAAAAAAATAACAAAGGGTAAAAGAATACCTTTTTATATGCAATTCTATCATCTGCCACTCTTTTTCAATCTTGATCTCCACACGCCATTCCCTTACTCCTCACACCTTAATTATCATCACGTGTCATTCTCTCCGCCGTCTCTTGGTATCTTATTTCATTTGTTTACCATGCTTTAAAACTAAAAACATGATACGAATTATTGGTTAAAAGAATAATTATTATTCTTAAATATCTCAAATTTAAATATTAATATCTACAAACATAGGTATTTAAGTGGGTTCATCATCAAATAATTTAAAAAATTTAAGTAGATACTATTTTGTTTAAGAATCTCTAAAAAATGATTATAATGCAACTTCAGCCGTGGATGACTTGACACATGGCTGATAAGGTCTTTTATTTTTAATAATAATAAACAGTAATGTGAAAAGCAATTGGATGAAGCCGAATATATAGATAAAGTAGGTTTTGCTTTTGGCACTGTTTGTGGCACGTGAGTTTGATGTAGTTAGCTGTTTTATCAAAGCAGTGGGATATTTGCTGTTAGTTGAACTGTTTCTTTCTCTTCTTAGCTGTTTTGGAGCCTCAGCCTTTGCTTTTGGTTTAGGCTATTTGCTACCCATAAATTTATTTGGTAGGTCAACCCCATGAGCCTCGTGAGAAAATCCCACGTTCTAGGAGCCTTAGATGACGTGGATGATTAAGCAGCCATCTAGAGTTGGAGGTCAGAGGGTGAATCAAAGAATTAAAAATCAAACATTATACCTTGATTTGTGCCATACAATTTGGAAATTAACCTCATTAGCATTTGTTCTTACTGATTGGTTGTTATTTATGGTTGAAATCTCAAAGGCATCAAAGAGTAATTATTATTGTTATTTAATAATTGAGGAGCAATATTTGTCTCGACAAGTGATTTTAAGATATTGTTATATCTTATAATATATTTTAAAAAATTAAATAACATAACCATAAACATAACCATATTTTATTTTTCCGACGCAAATATAAACAACTAGTTTTATTAAAATATAAAATTTCTAAATTATAATGATAATTTACAGCTATAAGTGTAAACTAAATACATACACCACAAGGAAATGTGCCCTTAGTGAGAATGCAAATATTCACTAAAAGCATTAAATTTAGACACTAAAATGTAAAGTGGTAAAAATTTCAAACCGTCACTAATAATTCTGCCACTATTATATCAGTAAAAATTATTCTAAAAATTGTCACAATTGTTTTTTTTTTGTTATTATCTATTTGATACAATTATCAATATAAATTGTGATGAATTTGTTTGACACTAAAAATATATTTTGTGACCACCAATATTATCACACTAAGTAATATTTAGTGACCAACTGTTCGATACTATATCAATAAAAATTATGATAAATTTGTTTGACACTAAAAATATATTTTGTGATCACCAATGTTATCACACTAAGTATTTTTTTAGTGACCAAATGTTCGACACTATTATTAATAAAGTCTTCACTATTGTAACATCCCAAAAGCCGGGTCAGTGACTAAAATGTAAAATTTGGAAACTTTGTGCTCAATTCTGAAATAAGCTAAAAGTTCAGTGACTTAAGTAAAGGATTTTGGATTAAATAGTAAAGATGGATTAACTAAACGGGTAAAATGGTCTTTTCGTAGGAAAGATTTTTATTTTCCCTTTTGGAGTAATATAAACGTGGGAAATGTGAGAAACATCTAGAGTTCTCTTCTCCTTTCTTCTTCTTCATACCTGGGAGAGCAAGGCAAAGGTGAGAGTTTTATTAGTTGATTATTATTTGAATTTTAAGTTTGGTTTTGATCTTTAGTTGATGGATAAACTTAAGGAAAGCTTGGGTTACGGTAAAATCAAATAATGGAGGGGTTAAGAGAGATTAAAGATTTGGAGTTTTTATATGAAATTTTGGAAAAGAATTGATAAGTAGAATTTGAAGTTAAATTTGACTTGTCAATAGTTAAATTGAGAGATTTGGAGTGATAGAAAGGAATTTAGAACATGTTGAAATTTGAGTATGATTATTGAATTTCATAAGATGAGAGGTTTTTTAGAATTAAGATGGGATAAATGAGTACAAATGGGCTTAAGTATGTGTGTTTGAGTTTAGTATATAAAAGAGGTTGAAATAGGAAGTGTTTAAGTTGAAATGAAGTATTTTTCGTGCTGAAAATGTAATTTCTGGGCTAGGGGAATCAATACCCATTCAAGGGGAACCGATACCCCTTCAAGCGAACAAAAAAAAATTCCAGAATGTCATGGGGGAACCGATACCCCCATAGGAGGGAACCGATTCCCCCTAAAGGAAAATTGTAAATATTGGTTTAATAAGTTCGTTTAAGTTGCTAGTATCAAATTACAAGGTGTAGGTATCTAATAATTGCCTTAAAATGTATAATTATGTAGATTTAGAGCCTAAACGAGTTCCAGAATCATTGACAAGTAAGATCGATAAAAGGGAAGATAAGAGATTGGAATGGACTAGTGAGGCCAGATGAGTGCATATTAGTAGTATATGATGTTAAATGGAAATAAGACTTGCGACAAGTCTATTTTCCATAGTAAAATGCATGAACTCATAAATAGAAGTATATATGTGTATGATTTATATGTGTTGACATGTTATTGTATATATGTATTATATGGTTGATGTGAATATGTTCTATGTTATGATGATATAAACCATATGATAAGATAATAAATTATATGAATATAAAAGATAAGTTATGTGATAAGATCTTTGATATATACATATATATAAATCAAATATTACTACGTGAATACATGCTATGAGATAATTTAAGTAATAATATGAGAATATGGTAAAAGTGAG